CCCTGAAGTAAGGAATGGTAAACCACTTCTGAGTACACTGTATCTAGGAAACCTTGAGAAATGTCACCAGAAGTTGGTATCAGCTTGAAGGCATGACTGACATGACTCTCAAGGGAAGAATTTTTAAAACTTTAACAAGAAGCCTGCTAACTGCGTGTGGTTACACGTCTAGTCATGCGCCTTGTCTGAATGCTGAGGGCAACAGTGACTTCTGCCGCTGGAGATCTCTATGTGTTTTAAATTAGTGAAGAGAATACTGGCCAAACTGTTGTGGCACCTTGAGGTCACATATTTATTGTCATATAATGTTTTGTGGATGTACTCAATATAATATAGTGGATAGACTGATGGATTACAACTCTGGAGAACCCGGATTCGAATCCTGACTTGGCCATGGAAATTCTGTGGGAGTGGAATTGGTAAAAACACTCATTAAATATCTCACTTCCCTTTAGGGTCGCTATACGTTGCTTCCAGCTCGATGCCACATAATTAATTAATATAGTAAGGGCCAGAATTCACTTCATCAAAGTACAGGAACTGAAATAATCTGTGGCACGTGAAGAGTTGTCCCATACATTTTTAACCCTTTCCTGCATAAGAAAATTCTGTGCAGGTATTATAATTATCCTGCACTGCTCAACATTTTTTTTCCATTTAAAAAAATGACCCTGAAACTTCTGAGAAATCCCAAGAGGTTCCCTGGATGATTTCTCAGGAAAATAATTTTCTGCAGGGACATGTTGCTACGAGAAGGCAAGAGCGATTCATTCCCTCCTACTTCCAGTGTTTCTCTCTGAGAATGAAAGGCTGCAAGGTTCACAACCGCACCCCCACAAGGCTCATTCTTGTTGCTGCAAGACTACGAGAAGGCAAGAGCGATTCATTCCCTCCTACTTCCAGTGTTTCTCTCTGACAATGAAAGGCTGCAAGGTTCATAACAAGGCTCTTTCTTGTTGATGCAAATTGAAAGGGCTGGAAATTCCAGAAATAATACCAGGCTCCCCTCTAGTGGCTGCTGCTGACTCTTAGGTAAAGGTTCGCCTTGACATTTAGTCCAGTCGTGTCCGACTCTAGGGTGCGGTGCTCATCCCGTCTCCAGGCCGTAGAGCCAGCGTTTGTCTGTAGACAGTTTCCGTGGTCACGTGGTCAGTGTGACTAAACACAGAACACCGTTCCCTTCCCGCCGAGGTGGTACCTATTTATCTATTTGCATTTGTACATGCTTTCGAACTGCTAGGTTGGCAGGAGCTGGGACAACGACGGGAGTTCACTCCGTCGCGTGGATTCGATCTTACGACTGCTGGTCTTCCGACCTTGCAGCACAGAGGCTTCTGCGGTTTAACTCACAGCACCTTGAGACAAATGGCTCCTTCCTTCACCCTGTGCTAGCGATGCTCCCAGGGGGCTGCCAACACTACGAATCAAAAGCAATGGTGTGGCAGTTTCAGATTTTCCCTGGCAAGAACCCAGCAGTACAAAATGTGAGATAGACTGGTTCTCTCTAATGCACACATCCTTATATAACAGCAGGCAGAGCACCAAGAGTTTTGTTTCGGTTCCAAAGCATTTTTCTTCTTGCACATTTCTTTAGAAATGCCTCCGTGAACATGCCAGTGAGTCATCAACAGGACCATCCTGAGGTATTTTGCTTTGGCTCCTGAAGCAGGAAATCTTATGAGCATCTACATCCACAGTCAAAATAGTATAACACAAGTATTACGAACTACTGTATATAAATCATCCCTGAGTGCTCACTGGAAGGACAGATCCTGAAGCTGAGGCTCCAATACTTTGGCCATCTCATGAGAAGAGAAAACTCCCTGGAAAAGACGCTGATGTTGGGGAACAGTGAAGGCAAGAAGAGAAGGGGACGACAGAGGATGAGATGGCTGAACAATGTCATCGAAGCAACCAACATGCATTTAACCCAAGTCCGGGTGGCAGTGGAAGATAGGAGGGCCTGGCGTGCTCTGGTCCGTGGGGTCACGAAGATTTGGACACAACTAAACGACTAAACAACAACAAAGTATATAATGAACTGACTGTTTTGTGCTACCGAGAACTTGCTTGCTGTAGCCACTTCTCCACTTGGCTATGCTGGCACACAAAATCTTCTGATTTGCATTTACATTGATACTGTGGTTGTTATGTGCTGTCAAGTCAGAACTAATTGATAGTTCTACTAATGAGTTTTCAAGGCTAATAAGGCATTTAAAGAGTGGTTTTACGAGTTCCACATCTTCCTCCCTCCCCAGTGAGTTTCCAGGGCAGAGTTGGGGAATCGAACCCAGGTCTCCAGCATCCTGTGTGCCCTGTGTTAATATTACAGCTTAAGAACCAGTTGTCTGAAGTCACCCTCATGGAGAGGAATGAACCAGTTGTCTGAAGTCACCCTCATTGTTAGGAGAGGAATGAGAGCCAACTGTAATTTTCAGTCCCTCCCAGGCATACTAAGAGTCATGTCCAGCGATGGGGAAGTTCACAGGGACACTTTTATCTCATTAAGCCTAGGTGTGCAGTTATTAAACCATAGCACATTACAAAGTACATAGAATAGGGAGCAGGATTATGGCCTCTGACCCTAGTCACCTCTTCGTTTGCATCAATTTTTGAATAAAGAGTTACTGCACACACTGTTAGACGTTTTATAGGTTCTAAAATTTATAGGACCCAAAATTAGTTTTCATGACTGGAACGCAGGAACTGAAGGATATAAATTGATCAAAAAGAAAGAGAGACACTAAAAGCAACAAACAGCATTCTTCAGGTATGTGTACAGCAAAAGAAAGAGAAAAGAAATAGTGACTCAGCTACTCAGTGGGGACAGGAACATGATAGCAGACGACCAAGGCAAAGCAAAAGTACCCAATTCCTACTTTAGCTTGGTCTGGCCAATATGAAGAGGAGCAGAATGGATGAATAGTCAATGAAAGCCTTATTGCTTTCAATGGGTTCAAATTTCCAAGGCCAGAAGAATTGCATCGATTAACAGAAGTGGCTGGATAATTCTCAGAACCACTTGTCTATTATTTTCTTGAAATCATGGAGGATGGGTGAAGTGTCGGATGAACGGACAAGGGCTAACATTATCCCTGTCTTCAAAAAGGACGAAAAGGAGGAACACGGACACTGCATACCACATAAATGTAGTTCTTATTGGTAGGGTAACTGCAACCTTACTGTAACAGTTATAATTATTTGCTCATCAACAAGTTTATATTGCAATGCTTTTGGAAGTGAAGGATTGGCCAGCTTACATGCTATTGGTCGGTGGACACCCGAGTGCACTTTCAAGGCCTTCCCACTATTTGGTGAATCTCCTTCTATGCCCGTACCTGAAAGCATTTGGGCGTCGCGCTGGATCAAACATTGTCTAAGCACCAAGTAGAAAGTTGCCACCAGAAATACTTTTTCTGTGACTGTGGAGAAATTCAATCAATGCAATACTTATGTAAATGCATTTTATGCCCCACCATGTGTACAAATAAAGATCTAGCAAATGGCTGAGATAAGCCTGTTGCAGTAGCCTGCTTCAGGTCTAATTATGGTCTATTTATCTTAATAATTTAATTTGTTTTTAGATTTTACCTATATTTCATCTACATCCAGAATTCAAAATTGTGTAACACCTTTAAACTGAATAAAGAAAAGAACTATAACATTAACTCTTTGGGAGGCAGGGATTAAATTTGGCAGTGAACTGTACGAGCAGACTTTTTAAAGTCTTGGTTTTGAGGAGAGGCATGTCCTTTGAACTGTCCTTTCGGGCAGCAAAAAGTCTGAGGTCAGCCCTGTTGACACAAGGAAGGGAAAGAGAGAAGTTATCTTTCTAGTCCATGATGTCTCCACAAACAGTATCCAAAAAGTGCCCCTGCTCTCTGAGTTCCCATTGCCCCCACTGGGGAGTTCCTGCAAGTGATGGGTGTCTATAGGTGGGGTGGGGGTGGGAATGGCCATTTCCCAGCCCCAGAGCGCTCCAGATTAGTTTCCGGGAAAGTGGGAATTTCCCTTTCCCTGCAACACCACTGTTGCTGGAAACAGGCAGTGGGATTCCAAAGGCAGAGGAGGAACAGCGGCACCAGGATTGCTCAATAAAAGCCCAGCTTCCTGGAACAAAAAGAAATTTTGGAGAGCAGACTAATTTGCATGCAAGGTGCTGCTGTGTCGCACGCTGGCCTTCCTTTTGCCAACTTCTGCCCACCATGAGTGACAGACACGGCTCCTGGCTAACATAGTGAGCTATAACAACAATAATGACAGGGACTCCGGCAGAGATTTGCCACAGCCTCACTTCCTGAGGTCCATCTAGAGGAGATCTCCGGGACCAAGCCTAGCATTTGAAAGAGAACAAGCGTGTGGCTCTCAGTGACTCTGATTATCTTCAACGGTTCATACCACCGCCTAGTGAGTTCCCACAGCAAAGTAGGAATTTGAACCCTGTTCTCCTAAGCCCTAGTTCTTCCCACTATCCACAACATCACACTTGCTCATGATGGTGTTCTTATATACTTTATTTAAAAGGAGTTGGTTAAACATGCACATTAACATCAAACAACAACATCAAATAGCATGCTTAATGTATAACATGAATGTTATACATTAACATCCCTCTTCTGGGCATTTTTCCTCATATTTTCTCAGGATGAAATTATCATCATCATCTTACAATAGATGATAAAATAATGTAGGAATGTCCTATCTGCCCATCAGTGAAAGGGGCATGCATTGAAAGGAGATGATGAATACCAAAAAGATCCCACCCCCATCCCTCTGCCCTATATTCTTTTCAGAGTTACAGGAGAGCATCTTGCTGATTATAGGTGCCCTTTACCAGAAATCCTGTCCAGTCCAATTTTTAAAAAAAATACTCTTTCCCCCCTTTTGTTTTTAGTTTCTGATACGGAATGTAACAGTTTTGCAATATGCTGTAGACTCTTCCCACTGCATGGGGAAAGTCCAGGTGGTCATTGCTCTTTCCACCAGTATATATACCTGGTTACTCTCAACCTGACTGCTATTTAAGGTGCTGCTTGGAAGTTCAACACTTAACTATGAACTTTGCCTCTTTGGACTGAGCTGTTTGGTACCTTTACAAAAGTCTATCAAGCAGGTAAGTCCATACAACCTAGAAGTCCTGCCTGCCTTTGCAGGTGGGACAGTGATCTTTTCTGGGAAAGGAGAAGAGTGCTCGGAGGAAGCACCTTGTTTTCTTCGCCACCTAGCCCTCTGTTTACTTCTTAGCAGGGATGAAGGCTTTCGCCTTGTGGAGCCCTGTTGAGTTGAACTTAAGTTACACTGGTGGCTTGGCTTGGACTCAGTTCAGGGCTTTTTGGAGGGGCGGGACTTGAGACTCAACTCATGATTCAGACTCATTTGCCTGGGTCTCGTTGTCAAGTCCCTATGGGCTAGCCACCACCATCTGCAGATACAGAGGGCCGACGTCCGTGCCTGGAGCCGTGCCACTGCCTCCGCCCACACATGCGCCGGCCAGCTTAAAGCCCGTGCATGCACGGAGACAGTGGGCTGAGTTCCATTCCTGGAGCTGGCCCGCTGTCTCTGGGCATGTGCCAGTCTATCAACTATGTTATTGTTGTTTAGCTGTGTCCGACTCTTCATGACCCCACGGACCAGAACTCGGCAGGCCCTCCTGTCTTCCACTGCCTCCCGGAGTTGGGTTAAATTCATGTTGGTGGCTTCGATGACATTGTCCAGCCATCTCATCCTCTGTCGTCCTCTTCTCCTCTTGCCCTCACACTCTCCTAATATCAGGGTCTTTTCCAGGGAGTCTTCTCTTCTCATGAGATGGCCAAAGTATTGGAGCCTCAGCTTCAGGATCTGTCCTTCCAGTGAGCAAATCAAGGTTGATTTCCTTCAGAACGGACAGGTTTGATCTTCTTGCAGTCCAGGGGACTCTCATGAGTCGACTATGTAGGTGGAGGCAATGGGCCAGCTCTGGGAATGGAGGTTGGCTCACCATCTCTGAAGATGGCAGCAGAACCAATGCCAACAGGTACGCCTCTGGCAGCAGTGGGAGGCCTGAGTCTTTAGGTCCCAGTCCTGAGTTTCAAGCCTTGCAGGGGTGGGCAAACACCTCAAGACCTGGACTCCAGACTTGGGACTTGGTACCAAGGAATCACACACAGACTCAGGACCCAAGAATAGGACTTGGACGTGGGTCGTGGGTCCTAAGACCCTGCTTCTTAGGTTTCCCAGAGAAAGCTCATGTGTTTCACCCATGTTCTGCCGCTGCTGTGGCAGAAGCACTCCAGGTCCTAAGAACAACTCTGGGACACAGATCTATCAGTTGCTGCATCCCCATGATGCATCCCAGGATTCAGCTTCTCTTGACACAGCTCTTGACTAAGAGGGGGTGGGGGAAAAGAGAGAGGAGAGGACAACTCTGAATGCTTTCCCAAGAAAATAAAGAAGGCCAGATAGCAAGGTCTAGAGTGGGTAACTCAGAAGATCTAAAATCAAGGAGTTTGGTAGTTCTGCATCTTCAGAGATGCAACACCGAGAAGGGCTTAATATAGAGTGTCAAATGTCTGTAAGCATATCTGATAGAGGAATCAAATAAAGGAACCATTTCAAGAGTTTTCAACGGATATCACCGATTTATCATATATTCGTCGATTCATAATTGTTAATTTTGAAGACCTGACAAATACAAAGTGATGAATATTTTCTTGGTTTAATTCATCAATTTGTCGATTTGTCATATTCGTGACCCTTTTGGGGGCCTCTCTGTGCCATCTCTGAACTTGCTGGTGCCAATCAGAAGTTCTGGCTGATCCTGGATTGGCACGTCAGGAAGCCAATATCGCTGCTCATCTCTGAACTTGCTGGTGCCAATCAGAAATTCTGGCTGATCCCGGATTGGCACGTCAGGCAGCCAATATCGCTGCCGTGGGGGTGTACCTTTATTTTGAGGCTTTATAAGCTGTTTCGCTGCAGCCCCTTCGCACTTTTCTTCTGATTCTCGAGTGAGGACATTTGCTTGCTGCTTGGCTGTGCTTTCACTTTGGTGGCAGCAAAACGCACACTTATTTTTTCTCATTTATTTTATTTCCTATTTCATTCATTTCATTAATATTATTTGAACTTTCGTGAGAATTTGGGGAGGGATTTCTTTACCATTCATTTCATTACTATTATTTGAACTTTCGTGTGATGATTTGGGGAGGGATTTCTTTAGCAGATTTCAGTTAGGCTACTTCTTTTTTGGAGGTTTGTCTAAAGATTGGGGGATGGTTGTGTGTGACTGGAATCCCTTTCCCCAAAATTTATTTCCTGAGTGGTTATGTCTGATTCTGAAACTTAGTCAGCAGGGCCTTGTTTAGGCTGGTGGTTAGTTTAAAACTTATTTCTGGACGCTTGTATCAAGACATGGTGTGTGATCTCGGGGGGGGGGGGAGATTTTGTGTGAGTAGGGAATCCCTTTCCCATGAAGTTATTTCCTGCGTGGTTGAGAATGTCTTCTGAGTGCTTCTCCAGCTAAAGCAACTTCAGTTTAAAAGAAATTGATTCTCATTTTCATTAGTGAGAGATTGGGGAGGGCTTTGTATAGGCAGGTCCCGGCGGTGAAAGCCTTCGCGAATACATCTAATTCATTCTTTTTAGAGGATTGTGTTCAGACACAGTGAGTCACATTTAGTTAAACTCTAATTCGTTCTTTTTAGAGGATTGTGTTCAGGCACGGTGGGTGATCTTTGAGGGGAGTGCTCTGTGTCTGTGTGTGTTTCTTTTAGTTATTCCTGGGTACAGTTAGGACTGTGTCTGTGTGTGGGTAGTGTGCTTCTTTTAGTTATTCTTGGGTACAGTTAGGGTACAAGGACTTCCCCGCATGACTCTTTTAAACAATAAAAAAAACCCTCAACTGCTGGTCGAAGGGCAAGGCTCAGGAGGCGGCCACTCATCTCATCGCCGAGACAATCACCCTGCTCAGTCCTCCACTGTCCATCGTGGAAGCCCCAGCCGTCCGTGTGGGTAGTGTGCTTCTTTTAGTTATTCTTGGGTACAGTTAGGGTACAAGGACTTCCCCGCATGACTCTTTTAAACAATAAAAAAAACCCTCAACTGCTGGTCGAAGGGCAAGGCTCAGGAGGCGGCCACTCATCTCATCGCCGAGACAATCACCCTGCTCAGTCCTCCACTGTCCATCGTGGAAGCCCCAGCCGTCCGTCAGTTGCTGCATTTTTTTTTTGCCCCCTTGTACGACCTCCCCTCGTGGAGAACCCTCAGTTCTAGAGTGCTGCCCTCTATGATGCTGCGAGGGAGGAGGTCTGTGCCCATCTTTCATAGGCACAGGGGTGTAAGGTGCACTTCATGGCGGACCTGTGGAATGGAGGTCAGCACAGCTACCTCTCGCTCATAGCCTATGAGCGAGGTGGGGTAAGGTGCACTTCACGGTGGACCTGTGGAATGGAGGTCAGCACAGCTGCCTCTCGCTCATAGCCAGAAGATCTGAGGAGTGGCAGGGCATCAGCAACAGGGCCGCAAACTCTCTATCGCTCATCCATGTGGCAGATTTGTGCCACTACCCCCACCAATGTAAAAAGGAAACTTGCCTCTCCCAATGTCTCTCCCCACGCTGTCCCCATATTTTGGGAGACCTTATCTGCCAACCAGAAAACATCAGCCACTCAAACAACCCCAGGGGCATTTGGCCAAGATGCCAAATGCCCCTGCTCTGATGCTGCTTGAGAAGACCCTCCTGCCAAGATGCCAACTGCCTCAGTGTCTGCTGGGGGCAAATGCTACCTCAATGCCAAACACCTGTGTTGCTGCTGGAGACAAAATCTATCTCAATGCCAAATGCTACTGTGTGCCTGCTGGAGGCAAACCAAATTACCTCAGTGCCAAAGTTCTCTCATTCCCCTGGAGCCAAATAAATCTCCCTCAATGGCACCCACTTCTGTGCTTCGTGGCAACGTTTGCCAGCTGGCTCTGTCACTTTCCTGGGAGACCCCATTTGTGGGTGAATAACTCCGATGTCCGATATCCAGTCTTCACCAAACTTGGCAGGTTTTTTGGGGAAAGACATAAGAAGCTTCTGTGTGATTCAGAATTCTCTAAGTCCCTGAGGAAAACTTTCTGGGGGGGTGGTCCTCCTTGTGGCTATATAACTCGGAGGTCTGGAACCCATACTTCACCAAACTTGCTGGGCTTGTAGAAAAGGGTCCGAGGAAGCTTCCCTGAGAACTTGGTATCTCTAGGTACATGTGGGCCTGTTTTATCACATTTTAAAGAGAAGATGAATCAATAAATTGATACATCAAAAAATATTCGTAAATTTATATTTGTTGATTTGGTGACCTTGATGAATTACAAATCACAGCAAATCACTATTTTTTAAAATTCATCACCATCTCTAATTATAACCAATAGTGGGGTTAGATGGGAGCACACCTTCATTCAATATATTTGATGTGCCCTCTGCCATTTCTTTCTCTTCCCAGCTGCTGCCATGCTTGGCACTCCCTCTTCCTTCTTGTGCTTCCTCTTCCTCCTCATCCTCCTGTTTTCAACACCCTCCAGTTCAGCGCCTCCAGATGACACAGTAGTGATGACCAGCAGTGGTCCTATTAAGGGCAAGCATCTCGCAGCAGGGTCAGGATCTGTGACGGCCTATCTGGGCATCCCTTATGCTGAACCACCACTGGGGAAACTACGCTTCCAGAAGCCTCTTCCACATAAGCCATGGAGTCAGACTTTGGAGGCCACCAGCTTTGGCAACTCCTGCCCCCAGTATCTTTTTTTGGATTTCCCTGATGCAGCCGTGTGGCTTCCTCAAACGCCACTGTCAGAAGATTGTCTCTTTCTCAATGTCTGGGTGCCTCGTCCTCGTCCTTCTTCACCGGCCCCTATCCTTTTCTGGATACATGGAGGAGGAGGATTTTTAATAGGCTCAGCTTCTGTGGGATTGTATAATGGGGCATCCTTAGCTGCAACCGAGAATGTCATTGTGGTCTCCATCAACTACCGACTGGGAGCTCTAGGCTTCCTTTCTCTACCACCAGCTTCCCCAGGAAACATGGGCCTGTGGGACCAACACTTGGCCCTGAGATGGATCCGAGAAAACGCAGCTGCCTTTGGGGGAGATCCTAATCAGGTGACCATTTTGGGACAGAATTCTGGAGCTGTTTCGGTGGGTTTGCACCTTCTTTCCCCCCACAGCGGGCCTCTTTTTGCCCGCGCTGTGCTCCAGAGCGGAGCTGCCAATGTCGCCTGGGCTTGGATGAATCCTGAGAAGGCAAAGCAGAAAGCGCTGGTGATTAGCCAACGGCTAGGTTGTGCGGAAGGCAATGAACATGCCGTGGTGAGGTGCCTGCAGGAAAAGGACGCAGCGGACTTCACTCAACATGAGCTATCCATGGTTCTAGAAAGCAAGTTTATTCTGGATCTCCCCTTTTTACCAACAACAGATGGAGAGTTTCTTACGGATGATCCGGAAAAGCTTCTGGGGAGTGGACACATTCAAGTTAAGCCAACTCTGATCGGTGTCACCTCTGATGAAGCATCAACTTTTCTGCCATATCTTTTCCCTAACACTACCGACGGCCTCATTACTTGGGATCAACTTCTGAAGGGAATCAGGATGACGTTGCAGAGGGCAACTGAAGAAGATATTGAGGCCGTGGCACAGAAGTACAGCGAAGGAGACCCTGGTCCAGCACGATATCGTTCGGCCCTGTCCCGGGCTATTTTAGATTATTCTTTCCTATGTCCAGTAGCTGAATTTGCTGCAAAGAGTCAAGAATCGGGGAGTCCTGTGTATGTTTACTCCTTCGCCCATCACACATCTGGTTCTGTTTTTCCTGAGTGGATCGGGGCACCCCACGGGGCTGAGCTCCCATACGTGTTTGGAACCCTTGAGTCAGCCGTAGGGGTCAACCAAACATACACGGAAGCTGAAGCTGCACTGAGCCGTAGGATGATGCGGTACTGGGCAGAGTTCTCCAGGAGTGGGTAAGGCATTGTCTCTTTCCTCTCATACCTAATTGATTTACAAAGATGCAAGGCTTATCTCGCTCAGTAGAAGCTGAAATCCTGCACTCAGGCTGTTTTAATTCGGGTGTCATCCAGAGAAGATTAGATTCAGTGGAAAAGACAATAATGTAGAGAGAAAAAATTGAAGGTTGCAGGAAAAGAGGAGGAACGAACACTTCCTGTAAGACATTGCAAAATGAAGGACACATGGGTTTCTTGCAGAGTTGATGTGCCACTGTACTCCCTGTTAGATTATAAACCAGTGTTTGCTTTCTCTGCAGGAAACCCACAGGCTCAGGGGCAAAGGAGAAAGAGTGGCCCCTTTACGATGCCACAGAACAGAACTTCTTCCGTCTAACCACGGACTCTCCCCAGGCTACACAAATCTCACTAACTCAAAAATGTGGTTTCTTGAAAACACATTCTCTGAAGCCAGGTGAGTTCCATTTCAAATGCATTGCTAAGTATTTAAGACACTTTGGGAGTACTTCTTTAAAGGTTAAGGTGGGAAGTTTTTATGGTTAGATTAGGATGTTGGAGCTTAACTTAACATTCCCCAGAGAAAAACAGAAAAGAGACAGAGCTATTTGGTCTAGGAGCAACCTCTCCACCCCTAAGAGTTGGGGTAAGAGCAATTGCAGCACATATATACATTCTTCCCCCCTCCCTCCTTCACTCTCTCTCCCCCTCACAAGTAGACATATGGAGCTGCCTCTAGATGGTGCCAAACTTTGGTTTGGTTGAAGAAGTGGGTGTAATCCCCCAAAACACACAGTGTCGGGATCTGCAGATGAAGCCCCCCCCCTCTTGACCAGCAAGGAGAAAGGAAGAGATGAAGCACTCGAGTGTGGTTTCAGGACGGGATCCGTATGATCAAAACAGCATGCCGTGCAGCACCTGTTCAGCAGGAATTCCTCCCGATCCTTTGCCGCGCCCCCTTTTATTGTTTTCTACTACATTTGCACAAGTTAATCAAGTACAATCTAATCAGAGACAGGTAATACCTTAGATACACAAGCAGGCTAATCATCATCCTTTACTGGAAGCTAGTACGCTGTGTACGTGATTTGTGCGCTTAAGCACAATGTCTGCTACTACCACAGATACATACATTGTAAAAGCATACATTTTCCCCACAACACAGTAAAATAAATGAGTTAAAACTCTTGTCACAATCCTTTTGGTTTTGTAGTTGTGGTGGTTTCTGGTTTTACCCTAATTCTCTCTACACAAAAGAATAGTCATGTGTGTGCGTGCATATACTCACGTGTCCATGGTATGTGTCCACACTAGGGCAGAAAGTCCCTGACAGAACAGCCACCGGACCCTCACTGACAATTGAACTCCTATAACTCTTTGGGGCAAACCATGGCAGGCTCCATTCAGTATACTATATGCTAGACTCTGTCCCATGTGCGGGATGCCCTGGGTTGCCAGAAAGACAAAAAAAGGGGTTCCTAGATCAAATCAATCCAGAACGCTGTCTAGAGGCAGAAATGTTGAAACTGAGGTTGAAACTTTGAGCGTATCATGGGGAGACAGAATCATCTGGAAAGACAGTAATGTTGGGAAAGGTGGGATGCAGTGGGAAAAGAGGAAGACCAAATATGAGATGGATTGACTCCCGGCCTAAAGGAAGCCACAGGTTGATTTTACAAGAGCCGAGCAGGGCAGTTGAGGACAGGACATTTTGGAGATTGCTTATTGATGGGATCACTGTAATCTGGGGCGACTTGACAGCAGATAACAGGAAGACCTCTGTAGTTTAGAGAAAGTCTGTCTCTCAGAGCCTCTGGAATGCTCATCATTCTCCTTGAAGAGTCAAAACTGTCCTTGTTTATCTTTTGTGGGGGGATTTTTTTGGGGGAAAACATTAGCTTTTTCTTCCTCCTTCCTTCCTTCTGCAGACAAGTCAGAGGAGGAACATGGAAGGAGAGAATCTAGCGCTCAGTAACAGGAGCCGGGAACCTCCATACAAGGTCAGCCCTGCCTGTTAATGCTCGGACTGGGGAGGGGGTGGGTGGGAGGAGGGGATGTACAAAACCCTGAAGAGGCAAAGACAAAATATGGAATGAATGGAAAATGAAGAGGAACCCAAATGCTCAGAAACGGGATTTTCCCACTTCTCAGCTTTCTTTTCCTTTGCTCTTGGTTTGCACAGCTAACAGTTAGAGCTGTTTCCTGACCACTGTGAGCTCCGGCCTGAGATCATTCAAATGTGGGCAGGGTGAGGCCGGGGGTGGGGGTGGGGGCAAAGTGTGGCTCATGGGCTGCCTTATTCCCCAGTGACCCACATGCGCAGAAAAACCAGCATTTCTTTTTAAAAAAATCATCAGCATGCAGCCTAAAGAAAAAAACGTGAGTTTTGCACAAAAAACTGTATTTTGCAGAAAGGTATGGGTTTCATGTAAAAAAACGCACACCCTTGTTTTCTGTGTAAACTGCGAGCTTTCCTGTAAAATACAAGAATTTTTTTATTAAAAAAAAATCTGTGCCAAATACAGATTTTCTAGGGGGGGAAAGCCACTTGTGGGATGTCTGTGTAAAAGGTCCTACAATGTTGAAGTTTGCACAAAACTCTCCAAATCTCACCCAGTGGGGAGAAAAAGTGTAAAGGTGAGGATGCAAATGATGAAGGTTTCAATCTGGACTTGAGTCAAATGAGGACTCCTGCTTTTAGTAGCACACCTTCCCTGCTAGTCTCCTCGCTCCTCGAAGTGTGTATGTTGGGGTTTTGGGGGAAAGGAAGGAGGCTGTCAAAAGTACTAAGGAAGAGAGAGAGAGAGAGAGAGAGAGAGCTATCATTAGTGGAAAACTAGGCCCAGCAGACCCCCCCCCAACTACAAATAACTTCCAATGCTATCTACATTCTAACTAATACATTTTCCTTTTTTGATAGATGCTGATATCTTCATATCCCTCAAGAAAACGGACATTTTCAAGAAATCATGGGAAAAATAACAAGCTGTTTTTAACTGTTTTATGTCAGTAATAAGCATCCACAGCCAGCACAGCTGAGGGTCATCTTTCACTGTATACGTTGTTATCACTTGGCGAATGGCAATGAGTTTATAAACGTAGCTGGGATTTTCTTTCACGTGTCTCAAACAAATCATGGTTTTCATTTTTATGAATGGGTTTTCCCCTCCCCTGCCTGTAACCCAATGCAAAACAGAGATGGGTACTGAAAATGATGGGTGTGGGTCACTGGGAGCCATAAAATAGAGGAGGGGATAGAAGAGGAGGGGAAACAGAGTCAGGCCGGGGGTAGGGGGTAGGAAAAGGAGATGATGGGCAGGTGAAGCAGATGGAGAAAAACAGTCCCAGGAGACGGAGAGGGCCAGGCGGCATGTGCAGAACCAGAGGCAAGGGATGCTGGAGAGGGCGAAGACCTGAAGTAAGCACAAGGTAGTCCCCTGAGCGAAGACTAAGAAAAAGAAGCAGAGAAGGAGAGAGGTAAAAGGGCTACGCTAGAGGAAAGCTGCTCCAGGAAGAATTTAAACAGAGGGTTTCACAGGGAAATCTCTAATTTCTTGATCTTTACCTGAATCTCCCTGTAATTGTATTCTTTGTTTCCCTACATTATAATATTGTTATAACTCTCTATATGTTTCATATTCTTAGATCATTAAGCGAGGGTAGAGAACAGGATGAAGCTAGGGGTCCCTTTGAGCCATTTTGGCCAGAGTGTATGTCCACTGTACATAACCAATGCGGGGAATAGGCAATGCTATGACTACGCAGGAAACACCCCACGTTGGGTTTCCAGAAACCCTTACGCCAGGCCGATGGAGTTTCTCCCGCCTGCCTTATCTCATGGGCTGTTTGTTACGTGTCTTTCTGAAAGCATGTTTTGGCTAGTTTTTTTATTGGAGAAGACTCCTTTCTCATGTGCTGTTGTAACGAAAGCGAGGTTGTCGTGATTAAATCAATATAGGGGATTTGAGAACACTAATTCTGACCTGGTAGGAAAGCTCTGTTGGTGTAAATTAGCAGAGTTTTGTTTCAGTCCAGGAAGTCCAGTTGAATGACACAGACAAAGGCAGCTTCTTCCGACATCAAGTGTTTTTACAGTATACACAGAAGTTCAGCACCACAAACCGGCAGCATGACGCCATTTTCGCGCCCTTGTTAAGCGAGGGCAGGGCGCGAAAATGCGGCGCAGACCTTCCGGCGGCCATTTTGGAACCGCCGATCAGCTGTTCTCCCCGGCTTCGTTATGCAAAGATCGCTAAGCGAATCGCTTAGCGATCTTCGCAAAGCGAAAAAACCCCATAGGGGCCATCGCTGAGCGAATGCTCCAGCGATGGCCCAGAGTGCCTCGTTAAGCGATTTCATCGCTCAGCGAGGCACTCGTTAAGCGAGGCACCACTGTATAGGGGATTTGAGAACACTAATTCTGCCCTGGTAGGAAAGCTCTGTTGGTGTAAATTAGCAGTTTTGTTTCAGTCCAGGAAGTCCAGTTGAATGACACAGACAAAGGCAGCTTCTTCCGACACCAAGTGTTTTTACAGTATATACAGAAGTTCAGCAGCACAAACCGGCAGCATGACAGCATGACATTCATTAGAAGAGGTCCATACATCTCCACAGGTCCACACAGTTCTACACATGCACATTTACATACAGCCAAAGACTGTGGACATTGCATCATCCCAGACTGCATGATTCAGCATTTTGCTCACCTGTCAAGTGATTATCATAGGCCTTGTTCTGCCTCAATGTGGAAATTATCCTTGACAAGCTCTTCATCCATGAGAATTACCTTGTGGGAAAAGAGAGTCCTTAGATAGAAGGCACATTTTTTTAATCTCACGGCGGGCAAGGCCGTATTTCCTTTGACTGCCTCATGGGCCCAAGGAGGAAGGAACTGGCGGTTAAGAAGGAAAAATGGAGCTTCTCCTAGGATTCTCACAAATTCGCACTCGGAGCTGCACTCCCAATTCAAAGATGGTATTTGCCGGAAAGCCATAACAGGAAAAGAGAATGGATCCTTGCAAAGAAATGAAGGATTAAAATTAACTGGACATCCCAGTGTGCTGTGGTGGACAGAGTGATAGACTATGACTCAGGAGAGCTGAGTTTGAATCCCCGCTCAGCCATGGAAACTCAGTGGAGTGAATGGGTGGGATGGAAGTGGCAAAACCAGGCCAGAAATAGCTCCTTTACCTCGAAAGATTTATTGGTTGAATGTGACTTGGCTCACTTCTGATTTTCATGTCTTCCATATGATGGTCTGAGATGGAATTCTAAGCGTGTCTGACAAACTCTGTAACCAGAGCTTAGAGAGATTATTGGAAGAAGTGGTCTAAAGGGGCACGGTAGGTGTGGGTGACATTGACCAGAACAAGCTCTCATTTGAGTTGATTGAAAGGCGTCAGATCATACGCTCCGCGAAGCCTTTGCCAGAGCTGCTGCTACAGCTTCCAGCCCAATCTCCTCCCCAAAGGTGGCTAGGTGCCTCTCATTCAGCTTATGTTCCTCTCTTCCCCCATGTTCAGCTGTTTCACCAAGAGGCTTTTCACATCCCACTGCCTCTCTCCCCCCTTTTTTTAATTTACTCATGGGAAGAGACTGTGCTAGGTAGGCAGGCTGTTATGTCATTTTGGCATAGTATCATCTGTCAGTCTTTTAAAAGGAAGAAGTCAATGGATGAAGGGGAGGGGTGAAGAGTGGGGAAGTGAGTGGTGCTAGTAGGTTGGGAGACTTTGCTGCGGTTAACATATACAGTGGAACCTCTACTTACGAACTTATACCGTCCCAGAAGATATTCGTTAGTTGAAACATTCGTAAGTAGAAGCAAAATTTCCCATAAGGAATGCATTGAAAACCGATTAATCCATTCCAGCTGAAGAAAAACATGTAAAAAGGAAAACAAATAAACAGAGCAAGTCCCACACTGAGACTACAAAAAAACAAAACAAAACAAAAGACAAAGAAATCCAAAAATAAACATTGGAGCAAGTCCCACGCTGGGACTGCAAAATAATTATAAAAACAAAAAAAAGCACAGAAACATAACCCCCCAGCCCAAACCTACCCTTCAAAAACCACTCATAACAATTTTTTAAAAGGAAAAAGCAGCACCTTACCAGTCCAAAGCCTCCCAGAGGTCCCCTGCCACCACAATTACCACCTTCGGAGGCCTCCCAGCGCTTCCCCGCTGCCATCGGAGACCTCCCGGGGGTCCCCCGCCGCCGCGATCACCACCTTCGGAGGCCTCCCATGGCTTCCCCACCCCGGCGGGTTTCTGTGCCACTGATGCAGGCTTTCCCGGGGCAGACTGGGCCTGGTAGGCCGGGCCTGCCAGGGGAGGCCCTAGTAGGCCGGGCCTGCCAGGGGAATCCCTGGTAGATCAGGGCTTCTACTGGTAGGCCCGGTCTAACCAGGGAAAGCCTGCATCGGGGTGGGGAAGCCCTGGGAGGCCTCCAAAAGCTAGAAGCCAGGGAGGCTGAGCCTCCCTTTTCCTAACTATTGTGGCAAAAGAGCTACAAAGAAGCAGCCTCTTCACCACCAACGGTTAGCAAATTTAAATTTCCCACCCTTTTCCCCTGCCTTTTTCTGTTCGTACGTTGAAATTCCGTTCACAAGTAGAAGCAAAATTTTGCAAACGGAGCTGTTCGTAAGTTGAAATGTTCGTAGGTAGGGGCATTCGTAAGTAGAGGTTCCACTGTACAGTGATTTTAGGTTCCCATGGATAATTAAATATTTTCCAAGTGAGTGACAATGGCAGTTTCAGCAGTAGAAACTTCCAGTGGCTTATCTGCAAGTTTTGTCTGGTGGCTTGGGACAGAAAAATCTGAATTAGTCCAAATCAACCTCGCGGTGTAGTTGCACACTTACCTACTTATGCAGATGTCAGTTCTGGGGTTTACACACTGGTCTGGTGAAGAGACACCTACTTGGGTGGGTGAGTGAGTGAAAGGCAGGGGGGCAGCTGCAGGCTGCTTAGTGTCCGGGCTTCTCCCCCATCTCCCCACTCCTGTTTTAATACAACAACAGCAGGGGCAAGTGGCTGTAAGACTCAGCCAGCAAGAGGACTACTTAAAAATTAACATGGGGAGAGGTTTTCACACAGGGAAAATCAATTTAAATGAATCAATTCCACATCCAATAAATGGACCAGAGGCAGAGGAATGAAAAAACAACAACAACACCTCATTGCCATTCAGAAAACCAACCGACCGACAATTGGTTGATTTGATGCACCATCAAATTACTGTAATCCACATTTACACACATGCTGCTTATTCAACCCTTTTTTACAGCGATCTAAACAAGCCAAACTTCAATTAAAAACAGGGGTCTTTTTAAAGCATCTCCATCTTGCATCCTGAGAGCTGGCAACCTTTAGTCCTGTCCAGGTGCTTCAATACAATGAAGGCAGGTCACTGCTGATTCTGTTTTGCAGGATTCAACGGACAGTCCTTTAAGGGCCAGCCCTTCAATTTCGCAGAGTGGGAGAAACACAGCAGCCAGAAAATACTGATGGGGGCAAGGACGGCTTTGGCAGCAACTCCCGCATACCCGCTGACCCTTCTCCCTCAGCTTTCTCTTCCAACTCTACCTCTTATCTGGAGGACAGAGCTGTATATGTGTGTGTTACATGGCCTGTCCTGCACTCCCTGTAGTGTTCCCAGTTGTGTCATTTTTTTTTTCAGTGAATCTGCTCCAGTTTTAAAGTCCATTTTGGAGGATACAGTCCAGCACCCAGGATAGTTCTAGTAAAGTTCAAACAAACAAACAAAAAAGGAACGCTCACTGGTGTCGAGAAACTGGAGTTAGCCGTTTCCAGTGGGCATATGACAGAGGAACCTGTCCCTGAATTAATGTTGAAGTCAAATTCCATTTAGTTCTATACATTTATTTATTTATTTATTTATTTACAATATTTTTTAGCCGCACCATTGCCAGTGGCTTAGAACCGGGGAGAGGGCAGCATTTTCTCCTTTGCTTTAGGCAGCAATACGCCCCAGCCTTCCTTTGCAGTTCATTTCATTCCACTGCAAAAGGTCTCGAGCTGGCCCTTCTGAATTTAGGGTTTATTACTGTATGTGGCGATGGCTATTCAATAAGTAAAGAGCTGCCCTATCACCACTGCTCACTGTAGGTGTGAGCCTGGCTTTTATTCTTCTTGAAAGAGCAGGCTATGTGTGTTCAGGGAGAGTTCCCTTTCCTGCGGTGGAAAAGCAAGGGCGAATTTAGGTCACTGTTCCTCTCTTTCACCTGAGCCGCCTCTCACCTTGCGACCTCTGAGCCTTGACACGGATGCTTACCTAAGACACTGCACGTGTCCACAGAGCAGGCAAAGCCCAAGTGGCCATTGCCCCTTAGGAACATCTACACAGTCATCCCCCTCCTCCCTGCAAGTAATTGGTAGGTTTCAGAAGCAGCCCATACGCCTTGATTGTCTGCGGTTGTTGTTTGGAGTGAGCTACAAGGACAAGGCAGACGGGCAAATACTCCTCAAGGAGGAAGAGGTGAGTCCATTCAGCCCAGGAGACCTAAGGCCCTTCAAGAATATACGAGAATATTTGATGTGTGAGTTGGAGGAGAGTAAGAGAAATGTTGAGGTCTAGCACTGTAGCCACTAAACTATGTTGGTTGTAGTTATCAGGAGTTTTGGAAATGTGTGAATCCCTTGCCTAGCTGAAACCTAGGTTTAAGCAGTAGGTCTCTTACAGGCGTGTGAGTCAAGAAGAGCTTGTAAAACTAGAACTTGCGAGTGCCATGAGGCAAGTAAAGACAGAACTTCATTTCCTCAAAAGAGAATATACAGGGGATTCAATAAAGCCAGAATTCTGAAAAATGAGGAACTCCTAGCTTGTTTCCTCAAAGAATTAAACACTGAACTGAGTTATCCCCTTTAAGCTGTCGTACCCACGGGGCAGGTTTTGATTGTGGAAGGTTCCATTTCAAAGATTTCATTGGCACCTTTCTCATTTTCACACAGGACTGAAAACATTTCCAAATTGAAATATTTTGATGAAAGAAGTGATGCTGTCCAAACTTGATGCTTAGTTCAATTTACACAAAACCTTTGAGATTAAAACCTTCCTGTTCCAAATGGCTTTTTAACTGAAATAATATCAGCTGTAGGTCTGATGGCAATTTTTAGAATATATGTTTTAATTGCATTTTAATTATTTTGCCCTTTTATTTTGCCTTTTTATTGTATTTTAAATGCTGTAAGCCGCCGAGAGACCTTCGAGTAGTGTGGGCAGCATATAAGTTAAATAAGTCAGCACTCTCTGAGTACTATCCGTAACCAACTATGTATCCACCAGATAGTTCTAACCAGCCACACCTAGTTAGCTTGCTAATCATCAGACTATCATGGGGCACTTTGTCAGAAGCTTTGCTGAAGTCAAGATATAATACATCTACAGCATTCCCACTGTCTACCAGGGAGGTTAGCTGATCAAAAAATGAGATAAGATTAGTCTGGTAGGATTTATTGTTTACAAATCCATGTTGGCTTCTAGTTATTTCTGCATTGTTTTCAAGGTGCTTATAGATGTGTTCCAGAATTTTCCCAGCAATTTGTGTCATGGAGCCACGTCTTGGAGGCCACCAGCTACGGAAGCCCCTGCCATCAGAAAAATTATTTTCCTGATCCATATAGAAGCTTGTGGTTTGCTGACACACCGCCTTCCGAAGACTGTCTCTTCCTCAATATCTGGGTCCCTCACCCACGGCCAGCAAGCCCAGTGCCTGTCCTGGTCTGGATTCATGGGGGAGGATTCTTTGCTGGGGCCAGTTCTCTGGAATTGTACAACGGGGCCTTTTTAGCTGCCACTGAGAAGGTCATTGTGGCTTCCATGAATTACCGTTTGGGCCTTCAGGGCTTCCTCTTCTTCCCGCCACATTTCCCAGGAAACATGGGCTTGTGGGACCAACATTTGGCTCTGAAATGGGTGAAGGAAAATGCCGCCATCTTTGGTGGTGATCCTGCTCGGGTGACACTCATTGGTCATAGTGCTGGGGGAGCATCTGTGGGCTTCCATCTCCTTTCCCCAGCGAGCAAACCCCTTTTTGCCCAAGCAGTGCTGCAGAGCGGTACTCCCAATTCTTGCTGGGCTTTGCGATCTCCTCAGGAAGCCACAGAGTCTGCACAGGCTTTCTTGGAAAACCTAGCATGCGATCCAAAAAATCGCAGTGCGGTGGTGAGCTGCCTACAGGGCATAGATGCTGGGGATGATGTGCTTTATAATGTGGATGCTCTCTTCAAACCTGTCCCAGATGGGGACTTTCTTCCTGATGAACCAAAGAAACTTCTACAGACTGGGCAGATACAGACTAAACCACTGCTCTTTGGAGTCACTGGCAATGATGGGTCTACCTTTGTATTGTCTCCTGGTGCTCCAACAGATGGAATACTTACTTGGGAGGAACAACTGCGAGAAACAGAGTTGGCATTGAACGGGGAATCTGAACCTGAAGCAGTCAAGGCTATAGCACTGAAATACAGTGAAGATGGCCATGGGCCAGAACAGTACCGTAGGGCCTTGGCCCAGTTTTACAAAGATTATTTCTTTTTGTGCCCACTGATGGATTTTGCTGCAAGCATGGCAACATCTGGAAGTCCTATATATGGCTACTCCTTTAACCAATACGTCTCTGGCTCCGTTTGGCAAGAGTGGATGGGTGCAGCCCATGGCGCTGAGGTGCCTTACCTGTTTGGAACTCTGTCATCCCTGCCAGGGAGAAACCAAACAAACACGGAAGCAGATGCTGGACTGAGCCACAGGGTGATGCAGTACTGGGCAGAGTTTGCCCGAAGTGGGTAAGGCATGTGATTGATGGGGTTTGTAGTCCCCTTTGTATATAGCAGAGTGCACAATGGCAGAGACTTAACTCGAATAAAGTTAAAAGTTATTTATTTTACAAAAGCATGATTCACATTTAATTCATGTGATTTAAATATTAATAGTCCAAACAGCTTTCCATTCCTTATTATTTGCTTCTTTAATTAGTTGCTTGCAGCCTCTGTAATTTCAGGGTTCATCAATCCTTTAACAATTTCTTTTCTGTTTTCTCTCACCCATGAGGGAAATATCCATGCAGACTCCTCTCACTTCACCTGGCAGTATATTTTCATTCTGTTGCTTCGTTCTGCAGCTCCTTCAACTTCTGCAGCTTCCTTCTTCCTCTCTCCTGTTGGTCTGCTTCTTTTTCTGCTCATGCTTTCACTCATACACAAATACACACAAGCACACACAGGCTTTGCTGCCACCGCTTTTATACTGATCTTACTCAGAGACATTCAGTTTCGCAAGGCCAATCAATTCATCAATCTCACTTGCCTGTCTTTCCCTTCTTGTAACTTTACTGAGCAGAAATGCTCTTTGTAAAATATAACCCCAACAGTGATACTCCTCTAGACCAGGCATGGGGAACCCCAAGCCCTGGGAATAAATCTCATCATTGTCAAGTTCAAGCTGTCCCTTCACGGGGCCACAAAATATTCCTGCTCCCTCCCTCAAACACACACAGGATTGGGTGGTCCCCCAGACTTCCTTCCAGTGTTTTTCCATTTCATTCCCCATGTGTCCTTCTTGCAAGTTCTAGCAAGGTCAAAGCAAGACTCAAGGACCTATCTCTACTTTGATATATTTAGAATTTTTTTTAAAAAGCAATGCACCTTAAGTTGTGGTGCAGCACTAAATGTTGATCTGAGGAAGCTCATCACTATGGCAGCCATGGCTCTCAGTCTTTTTCTCTCACACCCTTGAAAAGGGTTGCCATGGGTCAGAATGGACTTGATGGCACACAGTTATTGATGGCCATACCTCCTTCACTTACATACTCCCAGTAGAGGAGAATCCACCACCTCTTGAGGCAAGCTGTCCAAGTGTCAACCCACTCCTACTATCAGAAGCTCTTCCTAACATTTATTAGGAATGACAAACACTCAATGAAAACAATACTGAAATGTTCTCACAATATATGACAACTTTTCTTGAAAACAGTGATTCTTTAGGATAAACCAAAATGGTATGGAAATGACAATAATGTTCTACACAATAATAAATTCACTGAATAACATGAACTTGTTCATAGCACATACGTGTCTACATAATATTCTGGAATGGCTTCTTACAACCCAAACAGTCTAGGTTTTAATATAGCACGGGAACTTATCACCTTTCAGCTCCAGCAAACACCCAAAGTCTGTAATGAGCGTTGGGGCTTCTTCATACCTCACATTCACTCTGCCTGTTTTGTTAATCTTTCTCCAAAGGGATTTGGTGCTTATCTGTTCTACTGGAACCCATATTCTGAATTTGGCTTCTTCTCTCTATTGCTCAGTCAGTGTTGAAAGGATTCTCTCCTTTGTAGCTTCCCAAAGTAGCTGTTACAAGATCTCTCCCTCCCTCCCTTCAACACACAGTTCCCTGAGGCTTCATCTGGCCAACTCTAGACCTGAAAAAGACACAGGCAGCAGGAGATAACACCAACAGTTGAGAACACAGTGGAAAGGCACCAAATCAGTCAAGGAAGTCCACAAAATATCTGGCTATAATGTAGATAACAACGATTTCTTTATTTCTTTGGTAGGAAACCCACTGGATCCACCCCAGATGATGTGCAGTGGCCGCTCTACAATGCCACAGAGCAGAACTTCTTCCACATCAGTACAGAAGCACCTCAGGTCATGCAGGTGTCACCTGCCCACCACTGCAGTTTTTTGGCAACCCATCTGTTCAATACAACACAGAGAAGTGAGTTTAAAACTCTCTACTCAAGCACCACAGCCCCTGTGAAAACCATCCTTGCCTCCTGTTATGTTCTCCACGTGCTGCCTATGAGGTTGCCACTGATACATTTACATGTTTTACTTTGGCCCTAGAATTACTGTTTTGGAAGGAGTTTTGGATCAGGGCATGAAAATACCTAATTTTCCATTCTGTTATGTTTCTACAATCCTTCCTGCCTTCTTAACCAAGGTGTAAGTGCTATGCTTGCTGCACCGGACATTCTGTTGATGCGCTGGCTAACCAGTTTTCATGGGAAGCCTCTTCAGCTGGATATGTTTACAACCACAACTTGTGTCTCGAGAAATTTTCAACTGGTATTATAACAATGTTGTACCGTCAAGTCAATTCTGACTTATGGGGATTTTTTTCAGGGTTTTCTAAGTAGATAATATTCAGAAGTGGTTTACCATTCCCTTCTTCTGAGAAGGGCATCAGAACCGAGCAGCTTGCTCAAGGTTACACCAGCTGCCTCTTCTGGGAGGTTCAGCAGGGAATTGAACACCCAACCTCTGCCCTCATCCTAACTCACTGAGCTATCCAGCCATCCCATTAACTGTTATACAGAGACATACATCCTTCAACACTGGACAGGATGAATACTCATTCTGATGGCTGATATCAAGGACTTTGTTTTTTCTTTCTTTCATCAACAACTTTCATGAATGTTTATTTTTGCACTTTAACAGATATAGATCTTTGCATGCATTTTTAATATATGCATTTTAATATTTCCACCCCTGGAGGGTGTCGGATAGAACAACTGTCAGGTGGATACACTGTTGGCTATAGAATTGTTATCAGAGGGTGATGATTAATGGCTCCTTCTCCAACTAGGAGGGTGTAACAAGTGGGGTACCCCAGAACTCCATCGTGGGCCCAATGTTCTTCAACATTTTTATTAATGACCTAGATCAGGGGGTGCAGGGAATGCTAATCAGATTTGCGGATGACACAAAATGGGACTCATGCTTTGGAAGACAGAAACAAAATGATCTAGATAGGGTTGAGCACTGGGATGAAAACAACCAGAGTGAAATTTAGCAGGGATAAGTGCACAGTACTACGCCGAGAAAAATGAAACCAAACAGACTGGGATGAAAACAACCAGAGTGAAATTCAGCAGGGATAAGTGCACAATACTATGCCGAGAAAAACGAAACCAAACACACAGCAATACGATAAACAAGAGGGATCTTTGAATTGTTGTAGATCACAAGCTGAATATGAGCCAACAGTGTGTGGCTAAAAAAAAGGCAAATGTTATTTTAGGCTGCATTAGTAGAAGTAAAGTCTCCAAATCCCACAAGGTTTTCCTCTATTTGGCATTGGTTATCTTGGGTACCTTGTTCAGTTCTGGACACCACGCTTCAAGAAGGGTGCCAACAAATTGGAACAAGTTCAGAGGAGGACAACAAGGATGATCGGGGGCTGAAAGCCAAGCCCTATGAGGAAAGACTGAAAGAACTTGGGAAAAGAAGACTAAGAGGAGATATGAGAGCACTTTTCAATCACTTGAACGGCTATCATACAGAAAAGGCGCAGGATCTGTTCTTGATCATCCCAGAGTGCAGGCACACAACAAAGGGCTCAAGTTACAGGAAGCCAGGTTTTGTTTGAATATCAGGAAAAGCTTCCTAACTGTTAAAGCAGTTCGACAGTGGAACCAATTACCTCGAGAGGTGGTGAGTGCTCCAACACTGGAGGCATTCAAAAGAAATTTAGAGAACCACCAGCCACCTGGCAGATTGATTTGTATTCCTCCATTGAGAAGGGAGTCAGATGTGATGGCCTTATAGGCCTGTTCTAACTTTATTATTCTATGATTCTATGAAAATGTAGTTCCATATATTTCTCATTTCGATGCATGCTATATTTTTAAAATGCAACAGGCTGAACGCTCAGATGTCAGGGTTTCTCAAAGGCCTTCAGATCCTGCCAGCAGATGTCCTTGTGTTGCAGTTGTGGTCTTCATGAATTTGTGTACCTTGGTTCAATGATCTCTCCCTAGATGTCAAGATGGATAAACGCACTGGCAAAGCAGCTACCATGTTCTCTAGACTCACAAAGAGAGTATGGCTCAATAAGAAGCTGACAACATATACCAAGATCCAGGTCTATAGAGCTTGTGTCCTGAGCACACTCCTGTACTGCAGTGAGTCCTGGACCCTTTGTGCATGGCAGGAGAGGAAGCTGAACACGTTCCATATGCGTTGCCTCTGATGCATTTTTGGTATCATATTTCAAATGCAAGGTTGTTATAATTACTCAACTGGTCTCAAGAGGTGTGAGGGCCATAACAATTAAAAGCCATAGGCTTGTGGGATAAAGATTAAGCAATTGGGTTTCCTAAATCAAAGCAGCAATGAGAACTGAAATTACAACAATGGTAAAATGCTCAGTCAACTTCTTTTCTCTTTATTTTTGTTCCTTTTTATCCTGTCTTGCAGATTTGCGGGGACACTGATTGAAGGGACATTGTTCCATGTGGCCAGGTAAATGACTAGGAAAAGGGATCAGACCTTACCAGGAAGGAACTGATGTGCAATTTCCATGTGGCATGGGAGAAGAGTGTGCGTGTGTGTATGTGTGTGGGGGTGATACAACAGGGTGGAACATGGATCCTGGTGAGAAAAAGCTTTAAGGTCATGACACGTGGGTGGGTGGGAGAATGATGTTGGGCAATATGCACCCTGTGTTTTTTGAGGTAACACTTATGTAAATATAATGTTGTTTCAGAGCTTTAGGGTCTAGTAAACACTTTATATCTCTGTCTAAGAAATGTAGGTAGGTGTTGATCGACCTGTACAGAAAGGGAATGGTGGTTCAGATAACAGGAATTGTGCAGGGTGCCGAACTGCCCAGTCAATGCATTTTGTGTCCTTTTGAAGTTCTGCTTGTGCACTGGTGAATACGGTGGGCAAGGGGGGGATGGTGGATTAGAATTGTCTGTTTGATAGGTCTGCCTTTCTAATCCCATGATATATTTTTCCATGGGCTGCCCAGTCACCATGTAAATCCAGTTACATCCACCTTGCTAAGCTGTTACGTCACAAGTCCCATGTGTGAGTCCTAGTGGTGAGGCAGGTTGGTTTCCAGTTGGATGGTTTGGGTTTTTTTTTAAAAAGTTCTTTTTCCTCTTCTTCTCAAATATTTTAATCAATCCATTTCACTTTCTCTTCAGTAGATCTTAATGTGTGGGGACAGTTTAGTCCAGCATGCATTCCCCTGTAAGCATTTGTAAAAACTACATTCTGTGGCAACTATTAATATTCTTTTTTATTTCAGCATGCTTTGGAAGTGAAGAAGAGCAGGACTTATCGTAATCTCCGGCGCCTGAGAATTCCAAGTTCGTGGTTCTGAAGTACAGCGGGATCAAAACAAAACAAAATAATTACCTGGATCAATGCCGTCACTGTGGGCATATTGAACTGTTTCTTCAGAAAATAAAGGGGCATTATTCTTTATCAAAGTCTTTATCAAATGTGTTGACCTAACTTCACCTTCTACACGTGTCACTATTTGCAGTATCAGGGAAGGCACAAGTGAAAATGAAGACCAATATTTGCCCATTGTAACCAGTGATGATTGAAGGATATTCATGGGTACAATTAATTTGAAGCATTGTTCAAGTCGTAGCAGATAAGCAGGGGAAAAGATCCTTGAAATTAAAGTATTAGAAATAAGAAATCAGACGTTAATCAGTGAATTCAAACAAAACACAGTGCAATGATTAAGGAAAACTGTTATGAAGAATGACTTGTTTTAAAGCACCAGATGAAATTGCAACACACCTAATTAGCCATGGTTAACCCTTTATAAAAGTGCCCAACAGCATGAGACTCTTAATCTCAGGGTCGTGAGTTCAAGTCCCACGTTGGGCAAAGCATTTTAAAGGGATGTGGTGGCAGTGTGGGTTAAACTGCAAAAGCCTCTGTGCTGCAAGGTCAGAAGACCAGCAGTCGTAAGATCGAATCCACCCGACGGAGTGAGCTCCCGTCACTTGTCACAGCTCCCACCAACCTAACAGTTCGAAAGCATGAAAAATGCGAGTAGATAAATAGGTACCACCTCGGTGGGAAGGTCACAGTGTTCAGTGTCTAGTTGCGCTGGCCACGTGACCACGGAAACTGTCTAAGGACAAACGCTGGCTTTACAGCTTGGAGAGGGGGATGAGCACCATGCCCTAGAATTGGACATGACTGGACTAAATGTCAAGGGGAACCTTTACCTTTATAAAACACTATGTTTGCCTTTACTGTATTCGCGAAGGCTTTCACAGCCGGGATCTAATGGTTGTTGTGGGTTTTTCGGGCTTCTTGGCCGTGTTCTGAAGGTGGTTTTTCCTAACGTTTCGCCAGTCTCTGTGGCCAGCATCTTCAGAGGACAGCAAACTGTGCTCTGAGCAGAGCACAATTTGCCTTTACTCTTCCTCAAGCCCTTGAATTTATACTATGACCCCAGGTGTTTAGCAGTCTTTGGCCTTAAGATTGAGACAGAAAGAATTGCGCTTCAGAGGACAGCAAACTGTGCTCTGAGCAGAGCACAATTTGCCTTTACTCTTCCTCAAGCCCTTGAATTTATACTATGACCCCAGGTGTTTAGCAGTCTTTGGCCTTAAGATTGAGACAGAAAGAATTGCGGCTAGAATGTACTCCAAGGGACAAGGTCCAAAAGATTTGAGTAAATGTAAAGGAGAATATAGAGGCTGCCAGGTGTTTAGCAGTCTTTGGCCTTAAGACTGAGACAGAACGAATTACTGCTAGAATGTACTCCAAGGGACAAGGTCCAAAAGATTTGAGTAAATGTAAAGGAGAATATAGAGGCTGGCTGGACAGCTCAGTAGTTTAGGTATCTGGCTGCAGAGGCAGAGGCAGGCAGGTAGATTCCCCATTATACCTCCCAGTAGAAGAATCACAGTCATTTACAAGCCATGGTCAAGATGCACAGTCCCAGAAATGCCCCCAGAAGATGGGAATTGTTAACCACTTCTGAGTATTCTGCATCTAGAAAACCCCGAACAGGGCCGTCATAAGTGAGGAGTAGGTGTCTAGATGCTTATAGATCTATAGTGGATGAGTGATAACATTCCCATAAGCAATGTTTTTCAGTCTGGCTGGGCAAGATTCCACCCATTGTGCATGCAACTCTGCTCTCCCCCTGTGTAGGGTTCGGTTGCGACTGGAGCCAAAGGAGCTGGAAACAATCACTGGAGGAGGAAGAGCCCTACATGTAGGGTGCGGAGTCCCACGCAGTCCCGCACCTTAGAGGAAACCTTGCCCACCGGTAAGGGGTGTGCAAAGTACAGCCACCCCAATTGTCTATTACTTCTACTCTTCCCCTGTATCACTCCCATCAATTAATAAAAATACTAGACTCTACCCTACAACTTTCAGCAGACCTGCCTGGAACCAACCCAAAAAGGCTCTCGATATCAATGTCCTCACTGTGGGCATACTGACCCTCATTTCTTAAGATGAGACAACCGCCAAGCCCCCTTTGGACATGGAGTCTCAGCGCCAGTATCTACTTCAGCCTCAGTGAAGAGAACTGAGGTTGGCAGAGAGACCATTGGGTGTTCCTCCATGGAAAGAACTAAGGGACCTCAGACTGTGCGTATTGATCCTCTCCCAGTGAAGGGAGGTGGGCAGAAGGAAGTTGAGTTGTCATATGTTAATCCCTCCCCTGTTACAATAAACCCTATTTTGGTTCAATTTTTTGGTATCTGGAGTTTATGGAACACAAGATGGAGGAAAGTAATCCAGCATAGCCAGCTGGGGCTGTCGGGGCTCACAATGATATCTGGTAGAACATATTGTCAGACGAGAGGCTTTGCTGGACTGGGTGAAAAGGTGGCTTTGGTTGACTGGGAACAGCCCTCTCTCTTTCCTGACACCCCAGCCGTGGCATGACATGACATCTTGTGAAGTTATTCAAAGACTGGCATTGCAAAAGAGTATGGTTTTCCTTTACTAGTGTGGATAATTTCTTGATACAGGAAATCTAGCATCCATCATTCAAGGCAAGCCCCTTTTCAGGAATTAGGGCTTGTAGCAGAAATTAAACTTGCTTCATCTTCTGACAGACCTTCATGTATAAAACATGGCTATTAAAACATCACTCCATTTTTCTTCTCTGGGGATATATATACTCAGATCTCTCAGCTATTCCAGATTTTTCAGATCCTTTGCCATCTGTCTCATCCTTCTCTGAATATGTCCTGTTTTTTCAATACTATTCTTAAATTATGGTGCTCAGAACTGGACACAGTATTTTAAGTGAGGGCTGGCCCAAACAGAATAGAGTTATTGCTTTGATTCTTTCCTTTGATCTAGACACAATACTTCTGCCGATGCAGCCTAGAATTGCATTGGCTTTTATTACCATGGCCTCACATTGGCTGAAATCCAGTCATAAATCAGAATTAGAGTAGGCCCATTGAACCAGTGAACATTTGGTGAATCAACTTCTCCATAAGTTCCATTGATTCAATGGACCTATTGTGGTTGTGACTAAACTACTGGATTTCAGCCATTGTTATTCATGTTTAAGTTGTTGTCTGCTAGGACCCTCAGAGCCTTTTCAAATGTGCAGTTGCCGAGCCATTTGCCATGAATCCTGTGTTTATACATATCTGTTTTTTCTTGTCTAAACATAAAACTTTACATTCATCCCCACTGGAATTCATTTTGTTGTGTTTCTGGCCTGGCTCCCCAACCTGTTAAGGTCATCATGAACCATGATTTTGTCTTCTGAAATATTGGCAACCCCTCCCATTTTGATGACTGCTGCAAATGAGCACCCCCTTCATCCAAGTCATTCATCAAAAACTTGACCAACACTTTCCTTCAGAATGATGACAAACCACTTCTGAACACTCTTTGGGTACAAACTGTAAGTCAGCTTCAAAGTGACTGGCTCTATTCTTTAAATTGGTTAAAGAATGTTCTTGGACTACAATCCCCAGAAAATTCTGCCCAGCACAGGTAGTGGTGAAGGCTTCTGGAAATTCTAATCCAAGAACATCTCAGAACCTAAGGCTAGGAATCACTGGTATAATTTATATATTGTCAGCTTATCTCCAGGAAATCCATGGGGATCTTGTCAAAATCCCAGCTGAAATCAAGTTAAACTCCACTCACAGCAGTTGAAGTCCTGCAACTACAGAGGTGCCTTGCTAGATGATGATAATCCATTCCACTGAAATCGCTGTTTAGCGAAATCATTGTCTAGCAAAAAGCATTTCCCTATTGGAATGCATTGAAACCTGTTTAATGCGTTCCAATGGGGAAGAATCGTTGTTGTCTAGTGAAGATCGGCCATAAGAAAGCAGCTTTGCGAACCGATGATCAGCTGCTTAAATAGCTGTCTTGTGAAGCTTAGGTCCCGAAAACACTCGTTTTGCAAGCGCGAAGGGAGCTGTCAAAATCGTCGTCTAGCAAAAATCAGTTTATTTATTTATTTAATTTATATGCCGCCCACTCTACCCAGAGGTCTCTGGGTGGCTTACAATAATTAGTTTGCGAAGCAGGGACCAAACATTGTCCAGCGAAATTCCCCCATAGGAATCTCTGTTTTGCGAGTCGCTATAGCGATCGCAAAAAATCAATGTCTAGCGAAAAAAATATCATGCGGGGTAACTGTCTAGCGAGGCACCACTGTATCAATGAAAGGTTAATCCAGCATGATTTGTTTTTTGAGAATTTAGCCTGGCTCTTAGTAATCACTGTGCTTGTTTGTCTGTGATCACGGATTGCTTGTTTAATTATTTGTTCTAGAACCCAGCTGGTTGGGATTTGCCCAAATCCTTGTCCTCTGCATGTGAAGAACCATGTCCTGAACAGAGGAATTTCTGCTAGAGATGGATGCTCTCCATACAGCCAGGAACTATGATTGTCCAGGGTTCTCCGTTATCACATATGAAGGTCCTCTTCAAACGAATGGATGAGGAAAGGTGATGGCTGGTTCATGGGTTTATTTCCCACAATATAACAGAATGCTTGACTAATAAGTCAGTTTCCAAGCAATTCAGGGTGTGATCACGTGGGTAAGCATTTTGGAGTGCTTGTGACAAAGGCTGGTGCAAGCTATTCCCGGATGATCACAAGACTTACAAGCAATAGTGCACCAGCCCAACCCTGATCCCTGCCCAGGCTGGCCCTTTTTAATCCAGCAACAGAACTACATATAGAACTGCTTCTTTTGGGGGCCAGGCTGGAGCAAGTTCACAATGGACAGAAGTATTGCTTTAAAGGAGGTTTCACCCAGCAAAGTGATCCTTTCCAATGAGATCGGACATGCGGCTTTCTTCCCATCTGATTGCACCACCCTCGGTGAATAAGCATCAACCTGCTCTTTAGAGGACACCAGCAAATACAGATAAGATGTTCCTAATGTTAACAATTACATTCAACAACATGTACAAATAAAGATATCTAGCATTGCATTCAAAGACGG